CTACTATGATTATGCTACTCCAAAAATGGTTTGTAAGTTTCCAAGCCTTTCACATGATTAATATGTATTGAGTCGAGTCAGAGTGAGTCAGAATGAGTCAATGCGACGTCAGGAACGTCAACTGTCGAGATGGTTGCCTTCAGATATTTAATTGAAGCCCCTAGTTGTCACCAAGTTCTCCTAACCAAATATCTAGTGCAGACCACACATCTCTCCTTGAGAACAAAGTCTAGAACCATGTTCTAGCCTCCTGTAGCTTTCTTTTTTTTTTTTTTTTGGTGGTACGATGTAAAGTCGTAGCAACTAACAATAGGTTAGCCCCCGGCCTCCTGTAGCTTTCCAATGATACCAAGAAGTCCAGGAGACACCAAGTGGTTCCCACAATGAATAGGTTGCCATTTGGTTTCCATGTGATCACTCCTAAATGAGTGATCATGGTCTGTCTCTTCAACTGTGCAGACCTCTCCCTCGAACAGAGTATCCAGAATTGAGTTCTAGGACTCAATAACTTTCGATTGATACCCCTAAGTCCATGGTAGGACCAGTGCCTGGTTCAGAAACCTTATGTTGAACTTTGATCTTCCCAATTCAGAAGATCATGATGATATCGGTGATATCCGATCAAAGTGTGATCGCCATGTCGGCCAGTTGGACTTGGTCATATTTCGCAGCATGGGTCATGTTTCGTCATAAGATAGAGAGTCCAGACTATACACTCTAGTCGGTTCGTGATAGTGTCTGTCCTCCCCTTTGCCAGATAGTCCTTTCGGGTATGGACTGTTCCCGATAAGCGACTACTCAAGAACTAAAGACTACATGTTTCGTCTATGCCCTTAATGTCTGATGCCACATGTCGGATTTGCTAACAGAGACATACACATTCCATGTATAGCCTCCTAATAGTGCTCCTTTTGTCTATTTTCATGCAAGCTTCGAAACACGGCTTATCAACGCACATGTGATATTTCTGTCTGTCCCAAAGTAGCACCTTGGACAAGGCATATAGATTCATGCCGCAGAAGAGGGCCTGTACTTGGTGCCCAAAAATAAAGGTAAAAGGAGGAGCGTTGACCATAAAAGGCCAGCAAGCAGCGAAACATGAACAAATGTCAATTTTTTAACAAGGTAATTAGAAAGAGTTGACTCGTCATTATGCCATGCCCATTGGAGAAGGAGGAGAAAAAAGGAGGCAAGACAGAAGGAGAAAGCACAACACACCTCGAAACTGCTGCTTTGGAGCCCCGGAATGGCGGTGATGCTCTGGAACAGCTCGCCCTCAGGCACGCTGCAGCCTACTTGCAGGTTCGTCGCCGTCACCATCTCCGTCGAATTTGCCTGTGCACCCCAGCCAAAGTCCACCTCATTCATTACATCAATATCCATTGTCCACCCCACATGCAGCATGCTCCCCATCGTAGCAGCGTGCACAGGCTGCAGCATCGACACCGCGCATGCCACCCTCCGCACACCGGCAATCTTCTGTGCCGTCCTGGGTATGACCACAGGCACAGGTGTGCGCTGGATATGTGGCGGCATTGACACATACCCGTTGTCACTCTTGTTCTCGCTCTCTGAGCCGCAGTCAAACGCAAGGAAGTGCTCAAGCACGCCGAGGTCAATGACGGCGCCGCTTGGGGTGGGGCGGGGTGGGGCTTCGCTGCGTCGAAGTTGGTGGCGAGCATGGCTGCGTTGGGGTCAAGGTGGTCTAGCGGTATGGTGTTGAGGAGGCGGTCTTGAGGACCAAGGGGGAGGTCGCGCAGGGTGTAGTAGTGGTCGAGCATGAATTATGTGGGGACATGTGCATCAGAGTAAAATGTTTTGTGAGAAGGGCCTTGGCCACTGGGAGGAACGACGAGGAGATTTCACAAAATCACCATTGCGGCAAGAGGAGAGTGGGTTTGGGCAAGATGAATCACGGGATCTGAGACATGTCTGTCCAAAGTAGTGTTGCCATGACTCAGAAATTCGAGTCACGACTTGTGGAGTCAACTTGATTTGGGAGTCAACTTGAGCAAGTCGACAATTTTTTGGAACTGATCCTAAACTCTCCTGAGGTTGTAAAAACACAAAAGGAAGAAGTTTTTTTTTGGCCGTCACAGTAATGTCACAGGCTGTCATGCACATGTGACGGTAGCACCCATGGCACAAATTTTGATCATGCTCCCAATTGTGTTTTCGGGCCGAACTACGCAACCTACCTGGGAACTGACTCAAGTCGACTTGAGTGACTTCAAGTTACCCAACCCGACTTGACTTGACTCGGCTCAAGTCGGCGACTTCAAGTCAACTTGGTTGGCCCAAGTCGGAAGTCGCGGCAACACTAGTCCAAAGCCCTCGCGTTCGTAGCATGGCAACAAGCAAGAAAACAAGAAGACGTCATCTGCTGTAAATGTCCATGCAACTCATGAAATAACTGTCACAGATGCGGACCATCGGACACCATCCGCCACCAAGCCTCCATTACCACCTTCCGACTCGCAATATCCCAGTAATTCCTAAGCGGGTTGAAACACGAGAACTGAACACCTTGAAAATTGGGAGTCCAACTACTAGCAATCGTCCCACACTTTACAAAAGCAAAAGTAACTCGCTTGCACTCAGCACAGGGCTCAACAGAAGAATTGGTCTTCGACATGTCTCGGCCATTGGTCATCGCTTGTGGGAAACCAGAACAAGAAAGAAAAGAAAAACCACCTCTTATCCGCCACATAGCTCGGGCTTGATTTGAACGAGTGATCTCCTGTGTAAGATTTATGATGGCGGCATACTTCATCACACATCGCAGACGTGGCTATCTGCCACCAGGCCTTGGATACCACCTTCTGCCTTGCTATATCTGAACAACACCCATTTACTGAGAGGTGTGTGTAAAATTCAACTAACTAAATGGCAAAGTTAAGTAATGAAATAACAATTCAACCGAGAGTGAAAGAATCCAAGTTGGACAAATTCACGAGCAGAAGAAGATCCGTCGGAGTTGTAGTGAGGTCAAGCGAGCCAAAAAAAAAAAAAAAATTCCGAATACTCATGGCTCGGGTCGCTTCGAACGAGCAACTATCTGTGCAGCTCGTTTCACAACTGAGCACACAAGTTGCAGATGCGGACCATCCTCCACCGAGCCTTGCATACCACCTTCCAGCTGGCAATATCCCACCGACTTTGGAGCAGGTTGGAGTTAGAGAATCGAACACCTTTGCGTTACTTATAGAAACTGTTCCAACCCTCATTAGAGAGCTTGTGCCCAAGCTGCATGCCGCTTTTTGATTGTGCCAAAAGCGGCATGAAGCTTTTTCTTCTTCTTCCTCTAAGGGCCCTTGCGACTGTGTAGTAGCATTGGGGTGTCGGGATTTGACTACCTGTCAGGGGAACCCCCGTTTCCGACCGCCGATCCTCCGATCCAACCTCCGGTCGGACCTCCGCTATCCTCCGATGTTCCTCCCGCCAAGCCAAACCCCATCCAGACGGATCCCCGCACTCTGCATGGCACTCCGCATGTGGTCATGCTCGAGATCACTGCCGTTCACTACGCCATCAACGGACCATGTGCAACCTGTAGTTAGTCCTAGCTGGTATATAGGCACGCACCTGGCTGGGGTATCCTTAGACTTTCTCCTCTTCGGATCCCCCCTGCCAGGTGGGCTTCTTCCTGTAATAGAGTACTCCAATTGACTTCGGATCCCCCCTGCCAGGACTCTTGAGATATTTCGGGCCGCCAGGGTTGCCCTTACACTACCAGGCAGAATTTGTAAAAAGCTGCATGCTGCTTTTGCACAATGCACAAAAGCGGCATGCTGCTTGAGCACAAGCTCTCTATTGAATCAGGACCATCCTCGCTTGTACTTAGCACAAGGCTCAACAGAAGGATCCGTCTTGTGTCTCGGCCATCGGTCATCGCTTGTGGGAAAACAAAACAAGTAAAAAAAAAACCTCGGTTATGATCGGCATATGACTTGGGCTCGATTCGAATTTCGAGTGATCTTATGCGTGGGAGTTATAGTAATAGTTGCAGACGCGGACCTTCTGCCACCAAGCCTTTCAAATCACTGTCCGACTCTCAGTATCCCAGTAACTCATGAGCAGGTTGAAACACGAGAATTGAACACCTTGAAATTGGGAATCCAATGACAATCCTAGGCCTCCTGCAATTTGCAGCCATTGGCAGTACCGAAGGCGCGGTCAAAAGTTTTCCTGTTTCGGATGTTTTCAAAGAATTACCTGTAACTCGGTCAGCTCTTCATGGATTTAAATGAAATCATGCTAGATGACTCGGGCTAATTCATATGGAATTAGTGATAGAATGGATCTTGTAAAAATATCTCATATTAGATGATCTGGCCTTTTGAGGTTTTTTGGGGATGAATCTGATCTGGCATGCCCAATTCATGTCCTACTGGTCTGGATTTTGGCTAGGAAAGACTTGGTAACATTCTTAAACATGTCATAGATTCAAAAGTATGTAACATCTCGTGTTTGATTATCTCCGCAATATTTTAGATCTAGGAAGTGTCAGGTTGCTTGTTATCCCGACCTGACTGCAAGCATCACTGACTGCATTATTCAATTCTGACTCTATGATATGTTTCTAAATCTATTTATGCCATCTGCTGCAAAACATCATGTTGTTTGAACATGCCTGGACCCTCACTAGATGACATTTGTCTCAAAAGTGGCCCAGAATCCTATATCATCCAACATGGAATATTTTTACAGGTTTCTCTCTATCACTAATTCCGCAATAATTATACCGAATTATCTAGCATGATTGTATCCAATTCCATGAAGAACTGACTGAGTTACGGGTAATTCAGTGTAAAAACCCAAAACTGGAAAATTTTGGACCGCACCTTCGGTACTGCCAATGGCTGTAATCAAATATCAATTTGACTCAGCCGAGAGTGAAGATACACGTTGAACAACATTTGCAAGCATATGAAGGTCCAACAAAGCGTATTGCATTCATGGAAGTTGGTGAGCAAAAAAAAAACCTGACTTCACCCTCATGGCTCAGGCTCGATTTGAACGAGCCACCATCTGTGTAACACTCCTTGATGTGTCAAAAGTTGCAGATGCGGACCATCCACCACCGAGCCTTCATTACCACCTTCTGACTCGAATTATCCCAAGTTTTCTTCAAGGTGGGTGCCAATTAAACCAGTGGTAGCGAAATTGATACTGGATAAATTGAACCGTGTGAACATCAGGGAAAACACAAAAGAGTGCAGATAGATTCAGAAGGTCTGAGAAGGTGGCAGGCGAGCAAATAAAGACCTTCCTTCACCTCCATGGCTCAGGCTCAATTTGAACGAGCAACCATCTGCGTAACACTATCACAAGACACACACAAGTTGCAGATGCGGACCATCTGCCACCGAGCCTTCACAACCCCGAGAGGTCACTGGGTGCCAATCAGTTGTAACAAAATTGATACTGAATCAATTGAACCCTACAAACACCAGATAAAACAAAAAAGATAGCAGTAGGGTCCAATGAAGTGCATTGTGTTCAAGTGGGGGGAAAAAGTGGCTTCCCGTGTATGTCTCGGGCTCGAATCAAACGAGCTGATTTCTGCATACATGTCAATCACGTCAGGGGACAACTAACTATCACAGACGTGGACCATCCGCCACCAAGCCTTCATTACCTGCTTCCGACTAGCAATATTCCACTGGCTTTGGAGCAGGTTGAAGCACAAGAATATGATGACTTTGCTTGAGCCACGATCAGTACTTCCCTCTTAGAAAAGCTCATTGAAACTGAGCTATCCTCGCTGGCACTCAGCATAAGGCTCAACAGAAGAATCAGTCTCCGACATGTCTCGGTCATCGCTTGTGGGAAACCAAAAAAAGAAGAGAAGAAAAACCAATACTAATGTCTGTACATGACTCGGGCTCGATTCGAACGAGCGATCTTCTCCGTACCGCTGTTCACCGGTCACACGTTCCAGACACAGACCATCCGCCGCCGAGCCTTGGACCTATGCTGTTCGTTTTGTAAAATAATTCAAAACACAGTATATGACCTGGCAGGACCCCGTATGATGTCTCGACACAACATTATATATTATGACTTACAGCGTAACGTTATGAGAACAAGAGATTATGATATGAGATCTAACAAGCACACTATGTAGTGAGTACGCCCTCGCAATATATCTTCCCATGAGTCCAGACGTTATATGATGAGATGAGACATCACATAATATGAGAAACCGAGACATTATATGATGTCTCATCTCACATCATATAATGTGTCACTTGATCTTGTCGCCACCGGTCAGCGGGACTGCCCGCCCATCGCTCAGGGCAGTGCTCGGGGGAGGTGCGCCCCATGGCGGCGTCACATCGGTTGTCGAGCTTGCCCTACGGGGTTTCGGAACCCAGTTTGGCTGCAACTTCCGATGCCCGGAACATTTGCTGATTTATTACGAAGCCACGGACACGATGTTTGTACCGCCAGCGTGATATGCATAACTGGGTCTGATTGAGCCCTCCCCAATGTGGACGGTACCGCCCGGGGGTCGTCCCTAGGCATCATAGACCTGGCTTGTGTATTGTGCCCCATCTAAACACGTCCTTTCTTGATCCACTTCCACCTACATCCTTGCTGTGAAACCCGAGACTCCACAAGGTCCAGGCAAGCCTCTGGACAAGGGTCCAGCAATACAACTAAACACGACATGTTTGTGTGCCCGCGAGAGAGTGAACAGGTGCGTGTATGTGACTTAACGCGACTGTTATCGCGTGTGGGCGTGTCGTACTCCGCTAAATGTTCTTTTTTTTTTGCGGTGTGTTTAGGTCTCAGTCCCTCCATCCCGGAGGACCTCTGGTATCTCATCGAAAAGGCCGTTGCCGTTTTCTCGCTGTCCACAAACACTTGGAAGTCAACCACAAGGACAAGGACTCCAAGTTCCAGCTTACTCTGATCGAGTCAGCAGACGCCCCCGCCTCCTTGTGGTGGGTCATTGGCCAACCTTGGCCCTCCACCGCCTCACCTCTGCCCAAACATCAAAAGGGAGGATGCTGGAATGACACCCATTAGTAGCCTCAAACCCTTGGCCATTGCCACTCCTTCCCCGAACTCCATGCTCGCCTCGCCTGGATTCAATGGCCCGGTGTCACCCTACCTGAACCAGCTGCAGAGCATCCCGCGTCCCCGCGTCCCGGAAGCGTGAATGCCGCCGCCGTCTATGGGCCAACCGCCAGCGGCTATGTCTCTCCCGCCGTCCCGGATGATGTCTCTGCCCCACTGCCTGCCCTAAGGTCTCTTGGGCGGTGGCTTTGCATGCCCACGCTCAGTCAGTACGGCATCCCACCTGCATGGAGGCCCCACCGCTCCCGGCTGGTCCGTATAAGCTCCTGTGCCCAGCCAGCAGCCCCCACCGCCCGGGTTCACATGGCCCACCCAGCCACCGGGACAGAGCTAGTACGGTGTGCCCCTCGAAAACGAGCACCACGTCTACGCAATTGCCGCCAATGCTGCCCACGACGACGAGCAGCACCCCGAGTTCACTACCATCCACCACGATGGACACCACGCTGGACAAGGAGGCCTCCACAGCAGATGGAGACGGCGATATTGGATACGGACAAGACATTCAGCGCAGACGTGGGCGTGGTGTCCACAGGGTACAAAAGCAAGGTGCCCCGCTCGTGGCCGTAGCTCCCTCCCGAGGTTATATGGTGCGTTTGTGTCCTCTCATCTCTATTTTATTCATGATTTCGCAGATTTTGTTTGCGCATTTCATTCTCGTCACCCTTCATCGATTTTGGCGCTCCAGGTTGGTTTGGTGAATGTGCATTGATGTTGCTCTTTCGGATGGCGTTTTTTTCTGCCATTTATATTTTATTTTTGATCGCAGTCCGGGCTGTATTATCTTCTGTGACTAATCTAATCCCAATGGCCCGCAATCCTCCTCCTGGCTCGACTGCTATGCGTCGCTGCTTTGCAGAGCATGACGTGAGCAAGCTTGAGCACGGGGGGAAGGCTTTGAGCACCACCACCACCACCACCACCGGCTCTCCGTGTTGCTGCTTTGCAAAGCGTGACGCGAGATCCCTGGGGCACTGTAGTACCCTCGGTGCAGATGATTCGCCTGAACCTGCTTTGACGAGTGGTGCCGGCAACAGAGCAGTGGATGCCATGCCCAACCCCAACTTTGAATAAGACCTGTTCTTGCAGACTAACCTCTTCGCCACCAACGTGCCTTTATCTGCAACGTGGGACATCAAGCATGTGCGGGCGTGCAAGTGTGCATGGAAGCAGCAGCATGCTCGCACAACCCAAGGGGAAATGGAAACGGAATGCAACAAAGCGAGTGACCACCCACTCAATTCGTCCAGCATTGAAGATTCACCAGCAGCATCGGTGAATTGGGGTGCAACAACTTGCGGCCAATCTGTTCGAACCAGATCTTGGACCACACACGTTGGCAAGAGGTGTGGTTCTGGCACTGCCAGGCGGGATCCTTGACCATCTCAAGGGGAACGAGCGCTGTGCGCCGATTCTCTGTCTCCAAAAGGTCTTGTGCCTTCACCAACAAGACATAGACACGCAAGCCCAAATCCTCGACATCATTGTAGGTAAGAGCCGTGAGCTTATTGGAAAGGATTTCGGTGACAGCAGGTTCCACCCACTCGTCGATTGTGAACATACCAGCAAGGCGAAGACAGCGGGATGGGGCAAGCGTCATCTTCTGCAAGATTTTTATGGTGTGTGTCTTTGCAGCGTCAATATCCCATTTGTCGGCGAGCTTGAGGAGATGTGTGCAGATCCTCTCGCATTCTGCATTGTTGCTTCCCAGATCCTTCCACTCACTAACAGAAAATGTCAAGAGTGCCCAAAGCTTTGTTTCTACCTCACTTACGCCCGGTATAGCCATTGTAGGAAGTCGTCAAACTCCACCACTGTAGTGCCAGGGATAAAGAGCGGAAACATCTCGGTACCCTCGCGAGTGGGATCATTATCTTCTTTTCCGTCGGGGATGGAAAAAATGGAGTGCATCACGGTGGAGATCTCTTCGAGCATGCTGACATGAATTTTGTAGATGGTTTTATTGTCGACCTGAATCAAATTATCAGCAGCTAAGATGAATGAAGTATTCAATGCATACCTGCACAACCAGAGAACCGTCCTTATACCAGAATTTTGGATGTCTATAGAATTGGCCATATTTGCCACGGGCTGGTAGCCTTCTTCGCCATCTGTGGGTGTCTGGCTGTAGCTCATTGTGGTTGATGAAAGAAAAAATTACTGCTTCCAAACACGGCAAATCTAATTTTGGCTCGTTGTGATGAACCACAATAGTGCGCGCTCTCCCTCCCCTGCCTCCGCACCTGGAAAATGAGCCCTGGTCCCCCAATATCTATGATGCATACCAATATCTGGTCAATACCTTTCACTACGCATCTGCGGTACTTCACCAGGACGCTGATGTTAAACACCTACAATTTCATGTCAAAAACACGACCAAACAACTGGTTCCTGTATTGCAAGCATTGGAGGACCACGCAGCCGAAGAAAATCTGCCGCTTTCCTGGCTGCATTCGTGCACAGAGGTGGTTGGCGAACTTATTGTGGATCTATGTGTGGCGCAGGAAACAGCAATGACCACGTATGTACTGTGCAGTTTGGAGGAGAATGGGCCACTGAATCCTTAGTAGGGAAGAGAGCAATGTTGTTTTTGTTGAGCCGGTGACTGTGATACGGACAGGGAAAAGAGGCCGCCCCTGTAAACAGCTCAACGCTGCCTTTGTGGCAGAAGCAATGAAGTCACATCGCAATATCAGAATCTCAGCACTGGCTCGCATTCTGAATGTCAGCCGTCCCACCTTGATTAACCATATGAAGGAACATGTAGTGATGCGTGGGCTCAGGGCTCAAGCCCAAGCCCGACCCAAGCCCGGGCTCTTGAGCCCAACCCAGGCCCGACCCAAGGTAGGGCCCGGCAGGGCTCAGGGTCGGGCTCAGAATTTTTGATGACCCGCGACCCGGGCTTGAGCCCGGGCCGGACAGTGTATGCTCTAAGTAAAAATTCAAGGATGAAAGAGAAATTTTTACGATGCTTGAAGCATCTATTTGGACTGATTTTTACTCATTCATGAATTCAGCTCACCTTGGTTGCATTTTACTAGTAGGGTGAGGTACTTGATGTATTGATGCCATTGAAATCCTCAGAATGTGGTTCTTTCAACAGTTCAAAGATGTCCTCGCAACTCTGAATGTAAGCCAGAGAATAAATGGGACGTCTATGAGTCAAACACTCACCTAAATACAGCGGAGAAAATAGAGAGAGTCAAGCCCGGGCTCAAGCCCAAGCCCGACCCGACCCGAGCCCTGCCTGAGGGCTTGGGTCAGGCCCAGAATATTCTTGAGCCCA